GGAACTGACCGTTGTCGTGGAAGTGATACTGGTTGTCGAGGTTGCCGTAGTTGTGGAAGATATACTGGTGGTCGAAGTAGCTGTGATTGTGGAACTGACCGTTGTCGTGGAAGTGATACTGGTTGTCGATGTTGCCGTAGTTGTGGATGTTACACTGGTGGTCGACGTAGCTGTGGTTGTGGAACTGACCGTTGTCGTGGAAGTGACACTGGTGGTCGAAGTAGCTGTGGTTGTGGAACTGACCGTTGTCGTGGAAGTGATACTGGTTGTCGAGGTTGCCGTAGTTGTGGATGTTACACTGGTGGTCGACGTAGCTGTGGTTGTGGAACTGACCGTTGTCGTGGAACTGACACTGGTCGTCGAGGTTGCCGTTATACTAGTGGTTGAAGTGGCAGTTGCTGTGGTAGTCGTAGATACAGTCGTTGTAGTTGCGGCTTGCAGCCGTCGCAGATCGAGATCCTGGTAAACTTCGCGCACCAGCAAACCAAAAGCACTCGCTACGGTTTCACGGCATGAGAAGCGAAACTTGTCCGACTCAACTTGGGTCTGGGAGCGTTCGGCTTTGACTCGTTAAATCGGTCCCCGACGTCCGGGAAGAACGAAATCACTGGCTGAACCATCCCCGGATTTTGGGTTTCGGGCAGTCATAGTGCGAGCAAGACTCCTTTGGATGCCTCAGAATGCAGCGCTTCAGGCTTCGTTTCTCTTCTGCATGAACAAAAGCAATGCTTGCAAAAGACTCAGCCGAGACCTTCCGGCCCCGAAACAACTCAGAAGCCTTCTATCAAATCCAGCGCAACGCACAGCACGTACGCCTATTCCTTCGATTCGCCTCAACGCGACAGCCGACGCCTGCAACCCTCGAACCAACATCACACGCAAAGCCAGGCCGCAAATCCGCTTGCTGCAGTCTTCTGCTGTCAAGGCTTGACCAGGCGGCCTCTGGGGTCACCTTGCAGTGGGTCCACGATGGCCATACTGTCGGCTCTTGGGTTGGTGCTGAGACAGACCTACTCTTGAGTTCGAGGCGTACATGCCATCTTCCAAGACTCAAGACTATCCTCAACACCAGTCCATGATCCTCATCATGGTCATCGTCATCATCATCATCATCACAACAACAAGGAGCAGAAGTGGCAGCGACAGCATTTAATGGATCGGTCGCAGTCGCTGTCCAAGTCGCTTCCAGTGCAATTGTCACGATTGCCAGTATGGACCAACAGCACGCCGACAAGTATATCTGTAACATGGACGCTGAGGATGACGACGATAAAAGTGAAGTATTAGGCCACATCTGAAACCAACAACGATCGACAGCTGACACTGAAGAAGATCGTGATAACGATTGATGCTTTTTGGTGATGGTGATCATATATAACAGAATATATAATATATACTATATAATATATTATATAAAATATATATAATATATAATATATCATATATCATATATAATATATCATATATAATATATCATATATAATATATCATATATAATATATAATATATAATATATAATATATAATATATCATATAGCATATATCATATATAATATATAATATATAATATATCATATATCATATATAATATATAATATATAATATATCATATATAATATATAATATATAATATATAATATATAATATATAATATATATTATATAATATATAATATATAATATATAATATATAATATAAAATATATAATATATTATATATAATATTTTATTTATAATATAAACAAATAAATACATAAATGAATATATATATAT